GCCTCGTTCTTTTTTTGCGAGTTTACGGACCTCGACTCCGTCGGTCCATAAACACGCAAAAAAAGAACTTGGCCAATATCCAGCCATCTTGACCTCACACTTGGTCAATAACCAATACATTTTGGATTTGTGTTTGAGGAAAAGTCGGTCAGCGAAATCGCATGATTATCGTGACTATCGTTTTTAAAATGTTTTTCGTCCATGCTATAAAAACGGAAAGCCGGCGTTTTCAAATTCCTCAGGTTTGAAGAGCGTTTTCGAATTTAAAGCTCCGTTTTCGTGACGGATTAGTGTGGACGGTAAGTCAAACCGTAGAAATAAGTCTGCGTTTTCAAATTTCTCTTGCGTAGTGTGGGCGGGGCTTAATTCTTAAGTCGATCTTAGCGGTCTGCACTGCAAAATTCGGGCTGCTCAAGAAACCAATCAGAACACTCCTTTTCATCTAACTGGACCGGATTGCTTTATAATCAACTACCCTTATTGATATCCGGCAAAAATTTACTACAAGCGTTGCGAATATTCATCACAAAAAGAGCAGGCTGATTGAAGTCGAACAAAATTGAGGCCAGAAAAGATTAGAGTCAGCTAACATATCTAAACTCGCTGGATTCGCAAGTGGATTCCATCTCTAGGTGTAAGCGTGGCACCTGCAAAAATTTTCAGGGGAATCTGCGTCTCGGGTGATGGCACAAACTTGTACTTCAGCAAACATTGAACCAGAGCAATCTTGATCTCCATCAGGGCAAACCTCATTCCGATGCAAGACCTCGGACCTGTTCCAAACGGCATAAACTGGTACGGGTGACGAGTGTCCTTCGCGGGACTTCGGAATCTCTCGGGATCGAACTTCTCAGGGTCGGGCCAGGCCTCGGGATTGTGGTGGAGGAAGTACACAGGAACGATCACCTCCAATCCCGCGGGAATATGAATGCCACCGATGTCATAATCTTTAGCGCATTCCCGAGATAACTGAAACAATGGTGGATTCAAGCGCTGGGCTTCGCTTATGATGCAGTCCAGGTACTCGATGCTATGGGCAAGGTCGTAGAGTGTACTGTCGGGGTTTGACTTGACAGCTTGTTTTATTTCCTCCCGCAATTTGTTCTGGACCTCTTGATGTGTTGCTAGGTAGTACGTGATAAAAGCAAGAGTGTTGCTTGACGTTTCGTAACCAGCGATAAGAAAAATGACGCACTGACCCACTATTTCTTCATCAGTAAGCTTGCTGAGACCTTCTTCAGTCATGCCCTCGTTTGCTGTCAGCATAAGGTGGAGCAAGTCCTGCCTTCCCGTTATCCCACTCTGCCTTCGTTTGTTTATGATGTCCGAGGCGACCTTTTCGAAGTAGCCCTGCTTCCCAAGGGCAGTGTTAAGCAATCTGAAAAGGTATACACCAAGTGGAAACCGCCTCAAAATGTTCACGATCATTGGAGCTCGGAAGACCTCCTTCGCCCTTTCCAACAGCTGGCTCTCTT